CAATATGTTCAATTATAGAGCGTATTTTTACTGGAGATTATGAATCATTATCGACACGGTTAGCATGAACTTGGATCTTAAAATTAGTATTAGAAAACAGCCTTAATCTAAAGTTTTATCACCTCTTTACTAAGGATTCATACGCACGTTACTACAAATACGAAATGTCGAACTTGTGTGTCATTCTCCCTTATGTTGCCTTCATATGCTGTTTTATTCAACTTCCTTCTATATCAATAAATAAAATTCTTAACAATATGACGCAGTTATTGGCGTTTTGAAATGAATTGCAGTTTCATTAGTCTTAAGCCTAACATGGATTATCAATGGCCATTTATAACTTTGAGAAGTATTTGTTTTCAAAATTTGTTTGCTTGTTTGCGAATTTTCTTGCAAAGTCATACGAGGACTAGCTGCACAAGTCGTAACTAATTTTGAACTGATAAACTAGCCAATCTTACCCATTGCCAACTCTTGGCCGACTAACAGAAAAGTTGGATTTCACGACCTTTTTTTAACGTATGCATACGCAAGAGCACCATTTAACAGCAAAGAGATACAAACCATTGACCCTAAGATTCATAGTCCGGTCCATTAACCACTCGACCACGTCCAGCCCAAACTTAAAATCATTCTGATATTTTTTAATAATAAACCACAAAGAAGATGTGTGTGTGCCATAAAACACAAAATGTTTTTTTATTATAAACATGATTCTCAGGTAACTGCTGAAGCAACCAAGATAAATGCCAAATTTCCTAACTAATACTACTGTGCCCGACTAGGTCTTGAGCGGATTTTAAGTTTTAGTCTCCAGATCATTTTCATTCATTCCCCAAAACTTACTTACTTTATCTGAATGATTAAGCAGATTTAAATTAAAAATCATTAAAAATGTTTAAAATATTTTTATGTAATGGAAATCAATAAGTTAATCAAAGCAACAATGGGAATTCAATAATATGATAAGTAAAAGACACCTCATTTATTATTAGTAGTATTATTAACTCATAACTGTTAACAAAAGTACATTGTTTCTGACTATGCCCCCCCCCCAAAATATTTAGCTGCATGACGTCACTGCTTTAAAGTACTGTTACGACAT